GCTGGGGAGGCCACCGGAAGTGGCGCTGCGACCTGCCGCTGCCAGAGAGAGCGCCAGTCCCTGCTGCAAAATGTGCAGTGCTGGGGGGCGCCCAGGACCAGGGCTGAGAAACACTGCTTATTACCTGCTTATTGTGGAATGTTTTAAAACAGTGTAACTTGAATATTCTATAGTCTTTTTACTTTTATTTTGCCTCCATCCCAACTTTTTTAGAGTGTCTTGCAGCCATCAAAATTTGTTTATATTTACAAAATACAATTAAGTTGGTCAGTGAAAACATTGGAAATCTTTTTCTTCGTAGTTTTAAAGGTTAAAGAGAATTAACATCACAGATTCTTGTTTTAATTGCATTTTACAAAATGTATGATGAACTGAATGAAAGACTCAAATCCTCTATACACATATATACTGCACTATTTGAAGGGACAGCCATTTGTAGTGGTGTCCGAAATAATAGTGGACAATTATCGACTGCACTCAATCAATCCCATAATGCACCCTTAATAACGAGTATACCACCCCATTTCCAAAAAAGTTGAGTCAGTATAGTTCACAACAAAAAGAGAAAGGTTGCAAAGGAATTATGAATGTGTAAAAATGTCTAATGACCATATAATTACTGTTAAGGATTCTATTAAAATTCTGAATTTTTTTACACTATTATTGTTGTCTTTTTTCTTAAAAGTCATGACCAACAGTTAACAAGATAGAGGGAATATATTTGTTTTGTCATTCGTGGAGAAAACACGTTTAAACAACAGTTCTAGTCTACATTTACATATCCATTTTATTTTATTAAAAAAATTTTTTTGTTTTTTTAAATGGTACCATGCTATTATTTGAAATACTAGATTACTGTAAATGGTCAATGAATATGGTTTTCAGTAATATATTTTGAACTGTTTTTGGGATGATTGTGTAGCAAATTAACTCCTGGAGTGTTGGAGCATGGAGAGTTACACATTAACAGAACAGCGCTGTCTGATTTCTAACCAATACCAGACATGCTACATGCAAGATCAGATGACAAATTAGCATATTGCTAAAATAGATAGACAGACAGATAGATAGATAGATAGATAGATAGATAGATAGATAGATAGATAGATAGAATGCTGCAAGAACAGTCGAGTCCCAAGTTTAACAAAAGTTTTTTTTTTTTTTTAAAGAAAAACTTAATTTCAGACTTGCGCACTCTACAACCACTCTACAAACACTTCCGTGTTATACACCTGCGACAGGTAGGCAGGGCTCTAAAACTGGATACACCTGCACCACGGGTATTTTACAGCATATAGGCTACATCAGCGAACCCTTCGTATTTTATTCTGCTAAAAGTAACCAAACATATTATTATTTCTCGGTGCCATGAGTACGGGACATAGACTTTGTGAACTGACAACGGTGTCCTTGCATGTCAATGACCTGGAGACTAACTCTCAGCGTGACGACCCTTCAAAACCTCAAGATCGAGTAAATGTAAGTGAAGGCGGTGGGCTGTTTTTACACACCAATGGCACAGTAAACGGAGAATCATCGACAAATCCTGTGCGCAAATTTGAGAAATCGGAGAACCATGTAGGCAGCGGTGCAGACTCTATATCGGCTTCAGTAGAAGCGAAACTGTGTCCTGTACATGAACGCGAACTACAGTTGTACTGCAGTACAGAAGGACGACTGACCTGCTCGAAATGTGTGTCGGATGGATCTTGTCAGGGTCACACGGTGACAGAGCTGGTTACTCGGGCAACTGTAGTAAAGGTGAGTGACTCACAATTAGGTTTCAATGTACAAAACATAACTAAACACTAAACAATTACTAATAACATAACACGTTTGCTATTCCCTTAAAATACATTTCTAATGTTAGAATAACAGTATTTTGTATGCAATTTGTGTATGTATATTCTTATGGGGAGGACGTGCTTAGTTTCGTTATGTCAGTAACGTTACACCCCAGGAAGAAGAAACTTTGCTTTTTTTTTTTTTTTGATCACTGCAATCGGATACATTCCCCTTGGAATTTAAGTTTTTATCTATTCCCTTTTACAACATGTGATTTAAACTTTTCTGGCAGTAACCATGCTGTTGACCGTTTTATTATTATTATTATTATTCGTTTTGAATTGGACATTTTTTTTTATTTACACGAGCTGATTTCCTAACACTTTGCCTACATAGTCTTTCTTGCTGCAGATTTCCCATACTGTACAAAAAATATTTTAGAATTTGTATTTCAATGCAGTGCTGTTTCTTGTTTACAATTAAAAAATAGCCTATGTGCTGGACTCAAATCAACGCTGGACTCACTTGTGTTATACTGGCCAGAAAAAGTATTTGAACTCGTTAGACAAGAAAATATCAAACCAGACAGCTTTTTTAAGATAGCACAAACATTTAAACCGAAAAACCTTACAAATGTCTTGAAATAAAATTCAGACATTTGTAAGCTTCCAATTACTTTTGAAAACCTGTATACCTGAAACGTGCTGCCTGTGTGATCAAGCATTTCCTCAATACTTTCTTATACCCTTTTTTCAACAACAGACACATTCAGATCATATCCACATGCCTTCACATTCCTGCCACGTACATACCACTAGACTGCTGGATTAATGCCTCTTATGTGATTTTTCTTTCTTTCTTTTAAACAGAATCAGTTGGTGGATGTCTGCGAAAAAATGCAGCTACAAGCCCTGCGGATAGAACGATTCATTGACCGTACGCTTACAGCTAGAGAGAAAGCTGTACAGGTACCCGAAGATTTCACTAATTGGTCAGGACAGCTATATGAAGCACAATGGCAATGCTTACAAAATGCACTGTAGGCTATTATTATTATTATTATTATTTTTACAGAATTATGTTATTGGACAATTAGTTATTGGACTGTGAAATCTTGGGCATGGTAACTTATTCTGTGTGACTTTAAATGATTTTTAATGTTCCTGGTCTTAAAACATTACGTCCCAGATGTTCAGATGAACTGTAGTTATAACAGTGTAATATGTCGTTGTAATTGCCTCTTGTGCTGTTTAATTGATAGACAGATGCAAACAGTGCAAGAGAACGCGTGTTGGCTCAGGTGAATGTGGTTCGTGATGCTCTTGAGGAGGAGGAGCAGCGTCTCCTAGAGGCTATACAGAGAGAGGAGGAGCGAGTGGAGCAGTGCCTCCTCACTCAGAGAGCACACTGGACTCACACTCTGGAGAAACTCACACACACACGCACCAGCCTAGTGCACACACTCACACACTCGACAGATACCATGATTGTGGTGAGTGAATGAAGAGGCCAGGGGGGTAAAAAGTACAGTGAATTTGTGCAATTTTAGAAATATAAAGTATGGATACTTTGTCAAAACTTTACACATTCTACACATTTAACAGTCAAAGAATTTGTCATATTAAAGAATTAGAAAGTAACGTCTCAGGTTACGTATGTAACCATGGTTCCCTGAGAAGGGAACGAGACACTGCGTCCTCTAGGGGTCACTATGGAGAACGCCTTCGACGTGACCGATGTCTGAAGCATAAATCTAAACACGACAATGATATTGGCCGGCGACAGCCTATGACGTCACTACCGGCGCGTCCACAGTAGAACAGGTAGAACACGTCATCTGCTTCTTCGTCTGAAGCTTACATCCGAAGCATGGCGAAG